AATGGCACTTAACAACAACAATATATATGTGTGTGTGTGTGTGTGTTGCTGTGGGTTAATGCACTAGACTGCAAAGCCGTTTGAACTGCAAGGTCAGCGGTTCAAGCTCACCAGCTTCTCCTCAGAAACCCTATACGGGGTTGCTATGGGTGGGAATCAAATTGACAGCACTTAACAACCACAATATAAAAATATATTTATATATACAGCTGTTCCGCGGGAGAAAGATGAGACTTTCTGCTCCCGTAAAGATTTACAGCCTCGGAAACCCTGGAAACCCTGTACAGGGTCGCTATGGGTCGGGACCAACTCGACGGCACTTAACAACAACATATATATATATATATATATATACATACAAATAATGTTAATAGGATGGAGAAGCAAAAGTATAAGAAATACTACAAGGATATTTGTAAATGTAAAATTCCTTGCAAATTGGTTATAATCATTATCTTAATAAGAAAACAGTATAGCTTTAGAAGATTATATTTCGAACAGTTTAGAATTATTTGGACAACCTTCTATAGTAGTTTAAATCTTTTTTTTTTTTTTTTTTGGTAATGGGCTCATAAAATGACATCAATACTGAAAGTTAATTATTTCAAGACTATGCAATATATTGCATGTAAAGTTTATATTTATCCATAAACATGTTATTTTTATTGGGTGGCATGCAGTTGGGTCCCACTCATAGAAAGCTCATGTGACAGCGTAGAACTGTCATCTTCACGAAAGTGGATTGTCAAGTTCTTTTCCTTCAGAGACCTTGGGTGCATTCAAACTGCCTATCTTTCACTTAACTTTGCTCCATTATATCACCAGGTCTCTCAAAACATAAAGTGTAAAATGTTCAATGACTATATTTGATGCTATATAGTTTTTTTCTGCTACCTCTGGCCATATATTCAACACATTTAAAAAAAATTACTTTGTCTGATAGTAATAGAAAAAAATTATAATTTATAACATCCACTATTATAATAATCTGTAATTTATATCAATTTTTGCATCTATACAAAAATCAACAACAAATACGTACATATAAACATACACATACATATATCTTTTATTTTATATAAGGAACTAGAGAATGAAAGTAAACAATGATTTTTGTTCTCAGATTTTTAGATGCTTGTAAAAAAACATTATGGACACATGTGTATAGAATTATATAAGCCTTTGAGAAACTTTCTCCCCCCCTTTTCTCTTTCTTTGTGAAATTGGGCAGGAGAACTCTCAGATAAAGTGTGAGTCCTACATGTTCTTTGCAATGGCCCAGAGATAGCCTGAAGTGAGTCAGAGTGAACCCATAGTCCATTTGGTTTCTTGAATTCTTCTCTCTGTGTCTGTTATTAAAAATTAGAAGCCAGGAGGAGGGTGAGGATGGGGCAAGTGGGAGATGGGGAAATGGTGAAATCCCAGGGTAATCATCCTGGGAAATTCCTTCCAACCCTAACCCCTAGGGAGAAGTTTCCCATTGTGCAATCTAGCCTTGGGGTCAGGTCTCCACTGCACAGGTAACTGCTCTGCTCTGCTCTGTTTGCCAGGTACTAGGTTGAAGCTTCCCCCTTTACCCACCCCCTCCCCCAGACCTCCACTCCACACTTTGAATTCTATGAAATCCTCTAGGTGTGTCCTATCTCGCTTTACCGGTTATGGAAGTGGTGGTGGTGGTGGGGTGTGTGTGTGGTGGGAAGGGAAGGGGGGAGAGGGACAAAGTGGAGCGAGGGTTTGAAGCAAACTGTTTGTGTTTCTTCTGATATCCCTAAGGCCCTAATGGCCTTATAAGTGCCAATAATTGGACTGGGGTCTGTGTCAAGGTTGAGTCTAACATAAAACAGCTGTTTCTTAAAGCAGTGTCTTGATCAGTCACACTTGAAGCCCTTTGGTTCCTCAGGTCCTTCAACTTTTGGAAGATGAACTTGAGAGATGGAGGAGGGTGCGGCGGGGACCTGGGGGTGTGGAGGGGGAGGAGGGGTGTTAACTCTTAAGTTCATGAACTCAGGAGTTTAAAATCCCAGATAAGACTGGGAGTCCCACCATGATCCTGTTTCCAGCTTCACTCCTCTTAATACACCTTAAAGCACAAAAGAGCAGGGGATTTTTATGTTGAATTGGTAGCCTAAGAGTGCTTGGCCCTCACTCAAGCTTGCCACAATCAGAATACTTTTCACAAACTGGAGCTGGCTGGAGGTGGGGGCATCTACTTTTAATCCCATTATGTGCTCAGTTCACCTTGTGTGGTTGGGTGTGGAAGGCAGGGGAGGGGGGTTTCCAAACCCAGTGAAATTCCCATTCTATGGGTATTACCATGCCCATGGGGTTGGCAGTTCTTAAAGTTTAGCAAATCTGCAAATAACTACAAAACACAATAGAGTACCCCCTCCCTTCCTCTCTCTCTCTCTCTCTTTTTTTTTTCCCTTTCCTGCTTCTAAACGCCTTCTTCCAGGCTGAGGCTGAGTCTGGGCAGGTCTCCAAAGGTGCAGCAGCCACAACAATCCTGCAGTTCAAAGTTAAGCAGCAGTTGCACAACTTCCAGCAACTCTCTTAGCCGGCTACTAAAGAGCTAAACAGCCAGCAACGTCTAAGAAAGTGAAGGACAAGCTTCCAGCCCACCTTCAAATCCAGATATCCCATCCTTACCTCCACCCTCACCCCCAGAACTTTGAGATACAGTCCTGCAATTCGCCTGCAAAGCAGACCATGGCACCCTTTGGAAAAAACTTACTAAAGACTCGGCATAAAAACCGGTAAAGTCAAGAGTTTGTGTGCATGTGTGTAGTCAGAGTCAATGTGTAAAAGTACATGTTTGCTGGCAGTTTGATGTTGATAAAAACTACTTTTGAGGGGATAAAAGGAGTTATGTCTTATATTAATATGCAGTTGACTGGGATTGTGTTACAGTATCCTTGATTTCAGGTGATCAAACCAGGACTACCGAAAAGAATGATTGTTTTCTTTTCAGCCTGCTCTGGTTCCACAACTAGCATCACCAGCAACCTTTTTATCATTCTGAACATTTCAGTGTATTAGCATGGCAAGTCTCATTTTGCCTGACAGAACTTTAGTATATGACAGGAAGGGTTAAAATCATGATGAAGATATAAACTAGAATTCATAGCCACTAATTAGAATGAAAATCACAGTCCTGAGAGACAATCCGGAAACAAACACTTTGGCTCTTCTAACAAAGGGACATTCCTGAAATTTGGAAAGTTCCCAAAGTGAAAATATTCTGTAGAAAGATTTGGTATGAACCTCTTCTTTTAAATGTCTAACAGAAAGTTAGGTAGTTTTAGTGACTGAAATAGCTGTTCCATGTAATGATTATTAATATGCTACTTTGATTTGCTATTTCAAATCTGCAACGCCTTTAATGTAAATACATGTATCTTAAAAACACACACTCAGGGATTTTTGTTGAGCCAATATCTGCATTTGAGTCCTATTAAATTTGTTATCAACATCTCAAATGATACATTTTTAACCCAAAATATATGAAGATAAATTTAGACATAGGCTTTGCTTTTTAAATATATTTATTTTGGCATAGGAGCTTTTTCACTCCTCTATCTTTCCTGGTTGTACTTGTCATAATTATGTAAATTTAAAAAGACACTATTACAGGATAGGAAATATCTACATGACAACACAAACTGTTATAACTTAAACAAAAATCCTCACTTTATTTTGTGCTTGAATGTTTAACTTTTTAACTGATTTTGAAAGTATTCATGAGTTCTTTATGAAACTCAAACAGTAGTATAAACACTGTGTTGTTGAGTAATGGTCAAATTGGATTGAATTTATACCTATCCTGTATAGAGCAACTGGTAGGTTTCAACTTCTGGTGTTGTGGTTAACTCTCCAGTGCTTATTCTACAGTGCCACACCAGGACTACAATAAACACCATACAATTTTCTAAAGCCGTTTTATTTGCTAATATTTTGATAATGTATCACAATTGTAGTATTTCTGGCAATAGGTAAAAACATCTGTATGTTAACAAAATACAGAGTTTTGAGAATTAAAAGAAAATTATGTTCATGATGGATACCCAAATTAATTTTGCATTTTAATGGTGACAGTGCTAAAAAAAAATTCTGGAAGACCAAACCAAACAACACGGAAAAACCCCATCTGAGTTTCTTAAGTGATTAATCTGTAACCTTAATTGTCAGTAAATTTGTTTATATGATATCAAAATATATCAAAAATTACTTTGGGAAATTTCATAGTTTAGAAAACAAGTATTATTTCTATCTGACTGATCTAGCTGAATACTATGGCTATAGTTCTGTTGTTTGGTTTTGAGCAATTTTAGATTTCTTCCACTAGTATAAAAATCACAGTGTAAAAACACTTTGCACACAACACAGTGAGTTCCCCTCAGACTAGTCCATTCTGCACTTTCATCATATCAATTTTGCCCCTGTATCATCTACTGTACCTATAAACCTAGCTTTCATTTACAAAGGTAAGCATCCAAGCCTTTAAAAGTAGTATATATGGTATTCTCTATGTAAAATGAAAAAAAGCTAGGAAGAACAATAAAAAGTAGGGGAATGTGATAATATTTTATCATTCTCTAATAAAATAGGATGGAGCTTCAGAAAGTGATTATATTTATGCACACAGTGTTTTGGCAAAGTTGGAAACAGGGAAAGTCAGTGTGAGGATATGTGCAGTAACAGAGATTCCTTTACTGAATTAAGTTGATCTGTTTTGTTTATCAAACACTATATAATTTTAATAATTCTACTCCATCATATGGAGATTAAATATCTTTCCTTAAATGTGATTGATGATGAAATCGTTATCAGATAATACTAATGGATACTTAATAACATAGTATAAAATAAATCGCAGAATGTCAATAAAAGAAGAATTTGAGTAATATGTGTACTTACCTTATAATATATAACTTCTACAATTAAAATAGCTACTGGAGTATAATTTTATTATTCTTAGCTGGAAAAGAATGCAGATTTCTAGAGAGATTATTGGGAATTTGAGAGTGTACAGTTTTGAGGAATTTTTTTTACTGAACTTTTCTGTATTCTGTTCACTCTTGGAAAAATCTTTAATGATCCAAGATTAAACCTTATGAGCTAATTCCATAAGCATTTTCAGAATATATAGATATGTGAGAGTTTTTAAGACATAGGAAAATGAAAATTCAAAGTTGAGGCATAAAAACATGTAGAAAACACAGCCTATAAAGTCAGAAGAGAGCAGAGCCATATCAGTCTTGTCACTATTGTGTTCTGACTTCCAGGACATGTCTGGCATGTGACAGATCTTCAATACTGTAATTTATATAATTTGTAAAGTCAAATTACTATCTTTACTCAAAAGACAGTAAATATAATTTGTAAAGTCAAATTACTATCTTTACTCAAAAGACAGTAATCAATGTTAAAATTATTTTATTCATATTCATTATGAGATAACAACTTTTTCTTTATAAAAGCTAATGCTTTATAAAATATTGGTTAGCATTTAATGTAAGCAAAACACCTAAGAAGACAGACAATTACATTAATTTGAAACCAAGCTATTCTTATACTACCAGATAATCTTTTCTAAATTCTAAGAAGTATTTAGCTCAAAAGTTTAGAAAGCAGTATTTGGAAAATTTGAGAATAATATCCAATGACAAAATAATATCGCATTTGGGCATACAAACTAAGTGTTTAATTTCAAGCTTTTCTATAAAAATGAATTGAGGTCAATTTAGCATCTTATGCTTGTAATCAGATTTAATTTATTTTTATATTTTTCCAATTGTGACAATTAGAAATTGTGACAATATTTCATTGTGGGGGAACAAAATAGAATACAATGAATTGAACAATATTAAAACCAGTTGAGAATAATCACAAACTCTACTAAGAAAGAAATTCAACTTCTACATTGTTTAAGATTCTCATAACTAAGCTTACTCTAATACCAAGTAGAGGGCAATTTTCAGAAGACCTTTTGGTTTCAGGAGATGGATTGTTGATTTTGGTTTCAGAATAAGAGAAAGTCCTGTGATTAAATCCCAATAATTGTTTCATATCTTTTACAGATTTTTGTTCAGTTTAAAGAATGAAAGAGTTAGATTAGACATCTTTGTGACAAATGACTCAATTTTAAAGCATATACTTTTTGAAAGTATTTTCTCAAGGTAACTAGGTAGACTTTGTCACCTGTACGTCTGTGAATCTTTTGGAAGTATCACAGCACTGTGGTTGTATAATTGATGTTAAATGTGGATTAAAATTTGCTCTTGAATCAATGAGATCATATCTGGAGGGTTGTTTTTTTTTTAAGTCTGGTACATTATACTGTGTCAATAAGTACATGACACTGTGACTGCTTTGTCAGATGGAAGAATTGTATTTTGTGATTAGGATACAAGTTGTTCGCAATAAGAATAAATTCTTTTTGTAATTAGGAGTATAAATTCTGCAAAATGAAAGATGATCGTATATTGCGTATGTAATGTTTTGATGAAGACTTAAAATGTTACCCAAATTGGATTAAAAAATGTTAGATAGTTGAGTACATAAATCTCCATAGTTCCCAGGAGTTTCTGAAAAGGATTTCCTCTAATGATACTTGGCAACACACAATACATTAGGAGCAGTGACTGGAATGCTTTCTTCCTGGCAAAACAAATATCCCAACAACAGTGCAGTGGTGAAACTGAGCTCCAGGTTAAAACCTGAATTGTTACTCAAAAAGCCAAAAGCCAACTTAAATTTCATTGCATAAAGTGTTGTATTATGTGCTCCCACACCAATGTAAGAGTCCTGGTGTGGTGCTGTGGGTTAATGCCCCAGACTGCAAAGCCATTTGAACTGCAAGGTTAGCAGTTCAAGCTCACCAGCTGCTCCTCGGAAACTCTATACAGGGTTGCTATGGGTCGGAACCGACTCGACAGCACTTCACAACAACAATACCAAAGTATGACGCATGTCAAGGTGAAAAGTTCATAAATGGATAATCAAAGAAAAGTGAAAAAAAAAAGTTTGAACCTGATTAATAATTTATTTAAACCATATCTTTCTTAGCTTGACTGCATGTTTTAAAACATTTTGCTGTTATTGAGTTAATATGTGATTCCAAGACACCTGATGTTGTTTTTGTTGTTAAGTGTCATTGAGTCAGTTCATAGTGAACATTTATAGGGTTTCCAACGCTATAAATCTTTTCTGCAACAAAAGCCTCCTCTTTCTCCTGTGGAGCAGCTGGTGGGCTTGAAAACCAACCTTGTGGTTCACAGTCCAGTACTTGTCCTACAGCGTCACTATGTTCCCCAAGATATCTGAAAATAGTCCTAAATAATTCATAAAAGTATAACGCTATTTTATTGATTTTTAATTTTAGTTCTGAAGTTGGAAAAAACAAATTGAAGTAGGGACTCTTTCAGGCATATGTGGATACAGTCCTTGACAAGAAGCTACTTTGTCTCTTAGCATATTGGCTTTCTAAAATGAGCCATCATTTTATGTACAAAGTGAATATGCTAAAGAAAAAGTTCAGTATGCTTCTGTGTTTTAATATTCTTTCATGCATATTTGCTTAAGGAGGCTTTGACATTCTTTTGGCAAAACACTGCCTTGCTTTTTTAAGAGTTAATTATTTACTGTGCTTTAATAGATTGTGATTCCATTACTGTTGACCCTGATTTAATACCATGCATTCTAAAGGAAGTTTGCATATTTGTTTGTTAAAACTGACAGGAGTACCCAATCAATT